ATAATAATAATAAATAAACATATATAAAAAAAAATAACCATCAGCCGATAAAATACAAAATACAAAAAAAATTAAAGACGAAGTAAAGCGTAGTCCCCTCACTGCGTCCGCCTTGCACCAGGTCAGGGCTGAGACTGATCAGGCTCTTGTTCAGGCGCGCCCTTTATAGCTGCCGAAATTACACTCAAAGTGGATCGATCAGCTCTTGAGAGCATTTCAAGGTTCATTTTATGCTCACTGCAGAAGAGTAATTCAGTAGGGAGAATACTAAGCAGAAGAAAAGGCAGAGCAAGGGTCGCTCGACTCTTTTGCTTTCCTCTTATAGACTATTGCTCTACACAGCAACAGCATACTCTCTCTGCACATTTCGAGAACAGGGTATTAAAATGCTGTTGCCAATACGCTGAGCATCTTAATAGCCAGGCTCGTCTTGGCATATACGCATATATTAAAAGAGTGTGTATGAAAATACAAAATTTTTAATTTTAATTTTGGCAAACACCTTGACCGAGGCCAGGGCCTCAATATTGCGGTTGCCCCTATTGTAGTTGTTGTTGTTGTTGTTGATGTTGCTGGTGCTGCTGTCGCTGTTGGGCCATAATTTCTATAAAGCGTTGCCTGTTTGCTTTCAAACCGCTTGATTATTGACAATTGCAGGCACAGGCAGGCATCATAAAATATTAAAAAACAAATCTGACTTTGATGAATACATTTATTAACCAAGCCATTTGCAAGCGCCGCACGAAACAATAGAAAATCCAAACAACGACAACGACAACGACGACAACGAAAACTTTTTTAATTGTCAGTGCGTCAATTTTTGCCGTCTTATCTAGTTGTTAGCAATACAGATCTTTTCACTGAGCGGAATGCAGTTGAGGTTCTTATAAGCCAGCGTCAAGGTGGCGTCTATATAGGCTGGCAACGCATCTCAGATACCTGACTATATCTGGATTTTTTTTTTATAGCAACAATATCTGTTTCTATGGTCAACAGCAACGCCAATTGGCATTTGGCTTATGGGCACGTTTCTGTTGCGCGTTGCAACAAGAAGAAGTAGAAGTTGGAGAGAGAAAAACGCATATCTGCGTGTCGGCCAGTTTGTGTCTGTGTTTATTTGCAGTTAAACAGCACTTGACCATGTCACGGAAATGCTTGACCAACTAAGCCACAAGTTAATACTGTTTTTGCCTTGGCTGCACTCTTTTTGTATTTGGATGTGATATACCCTGCACTTGAGAGTTGGCTAAGCGAACTGAATGCATTTTGTAGCACAAAAGTTAGGAAGGAAATGAGAGAGTAAGTTAAGTAGTTTGGTACAGGGTATCTTGAGGCCTGTAGCGAGCTAAGCTTTGATATTGATATATGTAAACATTCTCTTAGATTCAGTCTACTACAGGGTATTTTCGCAGTCTAATACAGAGAATCTATTATGTCTGAGAGTTCACTTGTTTTATGGTTGCTTCTAAGAGAGCTATCCCAAAGGATAGGACTCTCTTTCATTCAAATTTAATCAATCTGATAGCAATAAACAGTAACCATATTTATTGATGGGTATTTGGCGAATCATTAAAATCTGCTTGCAGAGCTTGTCCACAGTTTGTACTTTGCCCCGAACACACACACACACACACACGCTTACACATACAAAGCAGATATTGGCTTGTGTATTGAACGGCGCTTAGTGTGCTCTGAAGGTCGTCCCGCTATTAGATATAATAACAATAACAACAACAACTACTGCCACAACTACAACAAACAACATCAGCAGCAGCAACAATCGAAAATGATCGGCTCAGGTAGGAATAAATTGCGCCAAACAGTTATTGACGCCAGAGAGCCAAATGCTTGGACCACGTTCAGATGGGTTTTGTCGCATGACATGCGTATTGAATAGTAATTAACTAATATAATTATTATTATTTTGTGCGCTTTTCGGGCGACATTCAGCCGATGAACAATTGACCATTGAGCCATAAATCAGGTAACAAATTGTTTTGGCCACTGAATGCCAAAATGGCTCTGCCCACAATTTTTTTTTTTTCTTTTTTCTGATTTGTCGTTGCTTTTTTTTACGTTTRGCAAGTTCAATGAATGCCAATTACAGTGAGAGAAACGATCGTATATCAAGTATGATTTGTGTTTATTTTAGCCGTTTCGATTAGAAATCGCCAGCGAAATAATATTGTCCAAACAGTCATAAACAGCTGATATTATATAGCTCAAGCTGATATTAATGAAAATTGGGAAACAGATGTATATACATATATACATTTATGGAAATGCCTTACTGTTGCAGTTGCCGTGCGCTGACGTGCGGTAATAACAGCTGTTGCTTTATCACAAATGGGAAATCGGAGAAAATCACAAGGGAGTGTAACTTACACTCAGCTTTTGCCTGTATTAAGTAATATGCATTGCTTACTATTTTAATAAACAAGAGAATCGAGTAATAATCTACTAATAAGAACGATCGAATGATAAGAATGAGAAATAAGAGGTGAGCACTGCTAGCAGTTAGACGAATATACATATCTGCATGCTATATACCTTAAAGTAATATAATTATCAATATAGCGGTATTAATAGCGACAAACTAAGTAAATAAGATATGAATGCCAGCAATAGCCAGCTGTTGCCTATCTACATACATAAACGCAATCATTATTCTTTTAATGAATAGCAGAAAGTGGCTTGAAAAATTATATGAATTAGAAATCAAGTAGCCCCGTTTATATATAGCATTCTGCTTTTGTCCGCCAGCACAATGAACAGGCTTCTCTCCTTTGGCAAAGCGAAGAGAGCTTTGCATCAAATGGAATTCTTAGCGCTTAGCTTTTGTTTGTGACCCTTAATTCTTCCGTTAAATATCTAATGCAATTCTAGTTTTTTTGTAGTCCACTAGAGCTACGCCTTAAGTTAGGCAATACTACATATAACGAAATATTTCAGACCAAATCTGTCATTAATCGGCTATATCTGTAGCTAAATTATCAGCGACATATGTAATCAGCTTTAGGCACTTGAACATATTTACTGCTGGTTTTGTATACTTCAAGTGTAATTGTTTGTGTTCAGCTTGTTGCTTTTTTTTCTAATTAACAACTGTTGGGCGTTTAACGTGAAATCGCGTTTTTTTTTTTTTTTTGCTATTTAGCAGAACTCCATGCCAATCCACTCCACTCCACTCCACTTCAATAGAAACTTACTTTCTAAACGAAGGTGCTGAGTGGGCAACTGAGAGTGCTACTGGCTGGCAGCTGAGAATCTCGGAGAGCGCTTTCAATGCCAACAGCAAGTTGCAAGCCAAAGCCGCCGTGAGATGCCGCATAATTTCACTGCGTTTATAATGTTGCACAAACACAGAAACAGCAAAAGCAACAGCAACAGAGCAGCTTTAGCAGTAGCAGTAGCTACTTAGTGTAAACAATTACCCTGACCCAATTTTATGTAGTTGCTTTAGCCGTCGGTTGTTGTTATTGTTGTCGGTGACTTTGGCCGGGCCAAAAAGTGAGCGACGTAGCTGTTGACAATTTTTCGTTATATTTAAAGTTTATTTTTTGGCTCTCGACTATTGTTTTTGTTGCATTTGATAATATGTGTAAAATAAAGTGATTTAAAATTGTTGCTTTTTGTTGTTGCTTAGCTAGACAATGGCGTGTCTCAGTGACAACGCCAGTTCGTTCCATCTTGGCAGTAGGTCAGTTTTCTGTTATTGCTGCAACATGTTATTCAAGAAAGAGCGAGCGGGAGAGAGAGAGACACTGAGATAGCAGCTATTACAGACAAAGCGCGACAATTGTCGCAGAGCACGCAATTTTTATAAAATGAATCATTTTAACGGTGTCTGCAAATTAACGCAAAGGGCGTTTACTTAGCCGGATAAACTGAAGTGGCACACAAACACCCACCGCAGCGTGCCTTTCGCTCTCTGTCGGATAAAACGGATATTTGTATATAAATAGCTTTAGCGGCACTTGTTGCGCACGCAAGCTGTGAGCTGCGTGTGCCAAAGGGCTTTTACTTAGCCGGATAATAATGCAAACAGCAGACACGCACTCTCCCTCTCTCTTTCTCTCACTCCTTCTTTCTCTGTCTGGCTCACCCGCTCTCTTTTTGATAAAACGGATATTTGGATAAATGGTTGTTGGTTATGTGGTCAGCGTCTTGCATTTATTTATTTATATATTTGTGCGCGCTTCACTTTGATTTTGATGTTTAGCTTTTATTTCGTTTTGAGTGGCTGCTTCTTCGTGGCGTCAACAGCGAAATTTCACTTTTTCCACATAAGTAATCATAAAAACTATGCACGTACACACACACACAAGATGCAAGAGTGTGCATGCGTGTGTGTATGTGTGTGTCTGTTTGTGTATGTTACATAGCTACACATGTATCTTAATGATTTTCCGCTTTGCCTGCGCTGCTCTTAAAGCCAATAAGCATGTTCATTCGGTTTCATTTGGCTGGGCCTACTGGCAAGGTCTTGCGACATGATAACTTAAGCGATATATATATTAATATATATATTTGTATATCTATACACATATGTATGTATTCGTATTTGTATTAAATCTGTATCGATGTGGCATATTATCGTGGCCTGTCTGCAACTTTTACTGCGGCAGCGCTCTGGAATGCGACTACCGTGCACAGTGGGCAAGTGTAAGTACACTTGTTGCCTGTTTCGATTTTGTGAAAGACACACGGGCAAACAACAACAACAACAACAGCAAAGGCAATAGCAACAGCAACAACTGCCACAACCACAGCAATAGCAGCCGCAATATTGGCTTGCCAGGCAACCGCAGGCATTTCAAAATAGTAAAATTAACACAAAGACAAACACACGTACGGACACTCGCACACACACTCACATATATACTAATGCACACCGTCTAAAAGCGTGCACGAGTCGGCTTTAACAGTGTATTTGGTATGCAGTCAAGATTCTTGGCTTAAAATGAATTTTTTTATTGTTTAACGCACCCGGCAACGTCGAAAGAGAAACGACTTGAACGCCAGCAAAGCCGCTGAATAACTGAAGACTTGAAATGCGCGCACAACGAAAGATGTTTAGGCAGCGGCCGCACAGTCGCAAAAGCTCAAGCTTAGCTTGAATTGCGACAAAAACCAGATAAACAGGTAACAAACGCAAACGGTCAGCGACGTCGCAACGCCGCAACATCGTCGGCGTCAAAAGCGAGAGTAAGCTTCAGTGCGCGGCGCTCACTGCTCACTGCTCGCCGCTCACTCAGCTCAGTAGCTGCTGCGCTGCTCACTCAGCTTTGCGCTCAGAGCGGCGAGTGCAGCGTAAAAGCTTTTTAGTGCAAACGCCGCCTTGCAAATGCAATTGATAAAAAGCTCTATTGAATGGCGTTGTCATGCATGATTATTGCTGCTACTGCCGCTGCCGCTGCTGCTGCTGCGCTGCTGGCGTGCTGCTTTTGCTATTTGTGTTATGTGCGGGCTGATAAAAACAAGTTTGTTGCTTGCATTGAAGTCTTTCGTTTCGTATCGTTTCATTTTATGCTGTCGCTGCCAAAACGTGCAACGACAACAAACATATCTTTGATTTCCACATACACGCAAATCATTATATGCCCAAAAAACGAGTAAATGACTAACAATTTGTCGTCTCGCTTTGCGAAACATAACAATTTTAAGAATGTATAACAACAAAAATGTTGTTGCTATTACTGTTGATGTTGAAGTTGCTGTTGTTGTGGTGTCTGGTGTTTGGTGTCCAACTTGACACAACCCTCGCCATTGCGCAAGGTTGCATTAAGATGTGGTCGCTTGTTGTTGCAATTCTTGTTATTCTTGCCAGTTGCAACACACGTACATATATTTACACCAGAATTGTTTATCTTCACATTTACTTAAAAAAAAAAAATATGACAAGAAAAACCAAATGTAAATTTGCTGTGGGCATAACACACGCAGAGTCAGCTGGAAAAACAAAAATAATGATGGAAAAAAAAAACTTACAAAAACTTGTTGCATTTGCATTGCAGTTGAACTGGAAATATATATATTGAATAGGAAATAGTAAAGTGAGTAGACTTCACTTATGGCTTAGAAGTGTTTGCCCAAGTGGGAAATATTCGCCTCAACTCATGTGCTTAGCCAGAATCGGGTCTGTAAGTGTTTTTCCAATGCAATTTATTGTTTATACAGTTACTTCGCTGAAAACTTTGGGGGGATACGTCCGTTAAGCATTGCTACAGTTCCAACAAGGTTAATTTGGACACACACACACACACACGATGACACCCCACACAGACACATACACACACACACACACACACATACGCACACGCAAGCCGTTGCAGTTAATAGGCCTATTCAAGACACAAACTCTAAACGAATTACAACTTTGTATGCCAATAAGGCTAACCGGCTTGCATGCGACCTTTCTGTTTATGTAAAATGACATACAAACTGGCATATTTGTTGCTTCTTTTTTTTAACGATCTCATAAATATTAAATCACAAAACATGAAACATGAGGTATGAATAGACAAACGTAAAATGCCCTGAAATGGCACGGATAAACGAGGCTGACAGAAGCTAGAGCCAGAATACATATCTAACATACATTTACCATGAGCCGAACCTTAAACTTATGCTATTTGCTAAGAAATAAGCAAACCTTCAAAGTTTTATGGGCTTTATAACAAGGCAAAATTAGAAAGAGACAGAGATAGAGTGAGTGTAAGGATAAGAGTGAGAGACACATAGACGGTGGAAGTAAAGGAAAGTGAATCTAGAGAAACACATAGAAAAATATAGTATAAAATACTGAATAAATATATAGAGAAGATATAGGTATTACAACAAATCATTTCGAATAGATCGCAGTTAAGCTTACATTTGTTGAAAGCAGTTTAGATGTAATGAGATGAGTTTGCGTGCTATCAATTGGGCCTACGTGAGGTCTCCCCCCTTCTGTTCCCCAACCCCTAAAATACAATTACTGTCACATTTTTTCTTACTTACGGAGACAAATATTGCAAAAAAGACCCATTATGAACTATGCCAATGTCTGTAACCAGAATTTTGAATTTCAAATTCAATTTGAATAGGTGGGGAAAACGGAAAACAAACAAAAAACAAACAACAAATAGTTGGAAATTTTTTTATGTAAACTTTTGAGACTATTTTTGGCACTTGAACCCGGGCTATCTATTTAAAATAATACACATATTATATAGTAACGACTATATATACTATATACAGTTGATAATAAATTAAAGTGACTTCGACTTGGGCTTGATAAGAGTGAGGCATATAGGAAATAAATGCATTGGCTAGCGATAAAGCCAAATAATGCCAATGTGTCTGCTTATTGACGTAGGACCCCACGGCTCTGATAACAGTCAAAAAACCCCAATACAACTCAGACAGCATTAGCTAACTCTGAACGACACTTGAGCTGTCTGAGCTAAGGCTTCATAATTGCATTTTATTTGCCAACTCGAACTCACTTCCTTCCCCCAGTTATGCATATATAATCAGTATACATTTTAACAGGTTATGTTCGTAGCGACAGATCTGTGAAGGCTGCTTATTGAAAAGCTATTAAGTGCACGAAAACATTTTTACTATATTGAAATATATGTATGTATGTGTATCATCTGTGATCGGTCGTCAGCTTAATCATTCCAGTGATGTGGACAAAGTTCAAAAAGGCTATCATTTGTTTGGATGATTTTGTTATTCGATGGGTGGCAAATAAGTCAACTAGCCTGTCAGCCATTGCTGACAGTCAAATACCCTGTAAAAGCGAAGGACCCTAAGCTCAACTCTCAAGCAGAGCAACGCTGAAGGTTGTATTGGAAAAAGAGAATGACACAAAGATGGAGAGAGAGAGAGAAGGATAGATAAACAGAAGGTGAGTAACAAAGAAAGTCAAAGAGTAAACCATAAGAAAGTGAGTGAACGAGAGAGGGAGAGAGAGCAAGTTAGAGAGAGGGAGAGAGTGAAAAAAACAGGGAGATATAAGGAAATGTAGAAAGCAAGGCAGATATAAAAATCAACAAAGAAATATGAAGTTAATCACATATATTAAGAAAGAAAGAGCTTCATGTGATAAGTCCAATGTTATCAGTCAAGCTAAACAGGTGTTTGCCCAAGGCCTTCAAGTGTAAAAGCAAAAAACAAAGAAAAAGAGAGAGCTGTGATCCAATAATCAACTGATCAACTATTAACTAAGTTTTCAAATCTTAATTTAATATCTGCTACCAAAACACTTACTGGCGGAAATCAACAAGAGCAAGCGCTTTTATACCTCGTTAACGCATTGTATAGGGTATGATGATTGACAGAGCAAATAGCACGCTTAGCAAGCATCGCTGACTACGCAGGAGGTAAAACTCGGGCTTGGCGGGGTGAAATAAATACATGTATGAAAATACGCGTATTATAGCTGCGAGATTATTGTAAAGTAAACTCTTGACTAAACTGATAAATGCAGAATACACTTGAGTAGAGTTCAATAACTCGACTCGTAGTCGTCGTTTATCAGCTATTTACAGCTATACAATAAGTACATGCGAATTAATCTATACATATATACGCATCTCTTCTGCCTTGGGTAATGTGAACACGCGTGTGGAATACCTAAAAATATATACCTGAAAATATATATACATACACACATAAAAATAATATACCTCCCATTATTCATTTATCTGTGAAAACAAGTATGTGTCTATCATATCATAAGGAAGCTGAAAGACAAAGAGTGCGTGAACGAGAGGTTTTACATTATTTTTGTCAAGTGTACTGCACCTTTTAAGATATACAAAGAGAAATTCTGCCATTTCTCGACACTGAGAAACTGCTAATTGATAGAGAAAACGGCGAGACTTTTGTTGTTACAAAGCACTTATCTAGCTAGTAGGTGGCGGGCTGGGGGTTGGGGGTGAAGCAGCAACTGAGACGCAATTTCACTTTTAATAAGACCTAGCTGTTTTTACTTTAATAGCGCTAATTAGATTAGGTGAATGTCATTGCTATAAATAAATCCGAGTTCAATTATAAGAGTCAACCAGTTGTTAAACCTTAAAACACAATTGCGCAACTCCTAATGCAAGCGTATAAGACGAAATATAAGAGTGAAACAAGTATAATGATATGCAAACATGCAGCATTTAAGACGAAATATAAGAGTGAGCTAACACACAAATAGCTAAAAGTACACATTGATAACAATTATACATACCAACACCATAATGCCGTTCGTACAAAGATCAACTCCCTTCAAATCTGTTTGTCAGCTGCTTGCGAGAGAGAGAGAGAGCATGGCAGCGAGGAGAGGAGAGCGTATGACTCTTTCCAGCTGCAGCAATAATAAGCCTTGAAGCTTTCCAAAGCTTCACGCACAACGCAATTTGTTTCAGTGCACATCTTCGACTTCGACCGCCGCTATGGAAATGGAGCACACGCTAAAAGATAATAACGAAACAATCATTGAACAACAAGCCGAGCGCCGACCACCGAACGCCAAAGACGACGAGTGCCGAACGGCGAAGTGTAGTATCATGTCTAAACAGCAATGCTGGGGATGCTTTGCGCATACCTATAAACAAACATACATACATACATACACATGTACATGCCTATATACAACCAAAGATACTCGCTCGCTGTGTCGATTCTTTGTCTTGCGGTGATTAAGTTTGCACTTTGTGTCCGTCGTATGAATGTGTATGCTAATGTGTGATTGCTACGTCAAAAAATGATCCCGATACGTAAACAAGAACATCTTCTGCAGAGACAGAGGACAGACAGTCAACAATCAGTAATCATAGCTGCCAGCTGCGAACAGCGCGCTGCTCTTCCCGCTGTAAATGTCTTCGCTCGCTTATCAACACTCGCTCACAGTCGAATGCAGCGACGCAACGAAAGCAGCAGCAACGGCGCAGGCAGCGAATAGAGGACAGCAGCARGCCAGGCCAGGCCAGTGAATGCGTTGCGCGCGTCGTAGTTATAACTTGTTTCGTGGGCAGGGCGCAACTCGCTGTGTGCTCGCAGTGTGTAACGGTACACCCCGAACTCAAAATAAGAAACATAGCAACAGCAGCCGAAGCAGTGGCAGAGGCTCAGGCAGCAGCAACGCAAATAATAATAACAATAACAAGCCAAATCTAATCTTGCGACGCAATTTTTATATTGATAGTGCGTGAAACGGGCCGGGCTAATCCGTCCAATGTGAAACGTGCAACGGAAAGGGTCTGACATTATAATTGTGTTGCCTCAATAATTCGCATTGCCAGGTTGGCAGATGAGTGGCCAATTAATTGCTGCCCACCTGTAGCTAATGGAAAAGTGAGTGCAATGAGAGAAATCTGAAACAAAGGCAATATCTCCAACGACAACAACAAAAGAAACTGCAGCGAATTTGTAACAAGTCATACGGAAAACCAGCTTGCCATATGAAAAAAAAAAAAAAAAAAAAAAAAAAAAAAAAAAAAAAAAACAAAAAAAAAAAAAAAAAAAA